ATCCCTCCAGGCTCCAGCATACAACAGGTAGCATAATCGTGGGGTCCGGGCAGCCGGGACAGCGGATCTTGAATGCGTAGTGATGGGGATCGCCGGGCTTGGACGCAGATCGTGCTTCGGACGTCGTTTTGGCTTGCCTGGTTGGGCTTCCTGGGTACTTGGTTGGATGCTAGTGTGGTGTGTGTGTTTTTGGCGGCTTGGGAGTGGGTTGGGGCGTAATCTCGGTTGGGTTGTCTGCTTGCGTGCTGGTGTTGGTGTTGGTTGGGTGGTGATGGGTACGGGAAAGGGGCGGGTTGGGGTGGTGAACTGTAGTGTATTTGAATGTTGTATTGTAGGGAGGGAAGTGGGTAGGTAGATAGATAGATACTGTACAGAATACGCACCCACGCACCCACGCACAGGACTTGATGTCGACAGCCGTCCAGCGCGCGGGTTTCGATTCGAGGGGTAGGATCGCGCAAGCCAGTCCATGCATCTGTCACCCGCGGCATTACCTTGCTTAGAATAGCGATCTTCACTCACACCCCACAGCGCGCGGCGATGGTCATATTGTAATAGGCGGGTTTGCTATGCCGAGGCCGCACGCACGCACGCACGCACGCACGCATCCATCTGCGCCTGCTAGTGCTTTCCCCAGATTACTGCGTGCCGGCGCATGAAGCGCAATCTTGCTGGGGTGGTTTTCGCAATTTCTAGACTGCTTTTGGGGGGCTTGGCTACGGTGTTGGATATTGGGGGTCTGGGGGGATTTGGATTTGGTGGCGGATTTGATATTGGATATTGGGAGATTGCAGGATTTGGGTTTGGGGGGATTTGGACTTGTTTGGGTTTGGAGGGGCAGGGTGTGGTAAGGTTGGTTGAGAGGAAGGAGGGGTTTTGGAACAACCACAACAGCGGAAACGTATACCGATTACTTATTTTTTTTTTATTTTTATTTTTTTTATTTTTTTTCCCCTAAAACGAAGGCGTGTACGTACTGGTACAGACTGTGGTATTAGAAAGCAGAAACACTGAGAAACGACTGTTGAAAACATCACTGATACAAACCGCGCCAACCACACTGACCTCACCACCTACTCCACTACCTCCCCCCCCCC